CATAGGTCTAACTACACAGAACACTTTTCAGTCTGCAATTGATTGAATCTGAGGATGCAGAGCCCCAGGATAAGACCGTATTTGCTCAACACCACAAAGTCAAGTGTGACGTTCATAAGTAGTCTGACTTCAAGGCAGCACCCAAACCACTGTGTTCGGAAAATTTGGTAGATGTCTAGACTTTGCTGGGGAAGCTCAGGTACCTCCAGCACCTAACCATGATTTGCACTCAATAAAGGACTTGTAAATGTCTTGTTGTTGTCCTGTAAAATAATATCCTTTTGTTATGGTAACATACATCTGAAGAGATATGATCATGTGACTAAATCACAGCATTAGAAAGCAAAGTTACCTGGATAAAAAGCAAAAAATTCTATGATTATGAAATAATCCTTACATTTTTGTCCTTACATTAAATTAAAATTTTAACATTAAGCTGACTTGTACTGAGTTCAGAATCAAGGAATGTTAATGATATTGAGACTTTTCTGACTCTGATTTTTTTCTAATTATCAACCTGTGGCTTGGTGACATAACCATAGAAACATGGATAGAAACTCCCTATTATGCAACAAACCACTTCCTGTGTCTGTTTATTCATTTTTCTGCAGTGTTTTAGTTAAACCTTTTCCACTTGCAGGGTCATATAATTGCAACTATTTCACTACATGGTGCTGAGGAGTAAGGACTTGGTTGCCAGATTTTAAGGTTAGAATCCTACATAATCCTGTGCACATAATATGTACCTCATTAGAGTAGTGGAATTGATTAATTTCACTAGTTTGGAAAGTGCTTGGACTTTTCATTTATTTTCTTTATTAAGTACCAAGCCCATAATATGTGCATTGTGTTTACTATTATTGTTAAGACCCTATAAACCTCAGGAAATAGACTTATTCCAGACTTCTCTAATTAGAAGCTTTAACTTGAAGAACAACAAAGTGAAGCCTCCATTCTCGTGGGAATTCTCAAAGAGAACCCAATCGTATGTTGCTCATGCTTCTTTATAATATAATATATCTACCAGGTGATTCTGGTTGAGAATTCCCAGCCATGATGAGCTTACTGCCTCTCAGGATATTTCATTCCATGGTGTGATTATTTAATTATGAATAAGTTTATATTTTATATTGAGCAGAAATCTACCCTTCTGTAAATTCTACTCACTGCTATCAGTGGTAGGTCAGCACGGAAGAGGTTTTCCAATTTCTTGGGGATCCAGGGGGTTCTTAAAATTTTTGATGAGAATTTTGTTTTTTGAATTTTTTTTTTTATTTGGGAAGGAAATAGCACGTTGTCCAAAAATGGGTGTGTGTCACACCCTTAGGAAGATTGGTTAGCTTTTCCAATTTGTAGCTTTTTGATCTGTAAAATGGGTATGATTAGTACAAGAATAATAAACATTCAGTAAATGTTAGCTGCATCTTTATAATTTTGTATTGGCATTTTAATACAAGCTATTAGAAGTTTTGCTTAAAGCTCTATGGTTCTTTTTTTTTTTTTAAAGATTTATTTATTTGTTTATACAAGCACTGGGTACAGTCAGAAGCGTGGGAGGGTGAGAGAATTCACCAGAGCCAGAGCGGGGAACAGAACAGGCAGACTGATGAAATACACTGCTGAGGGGAGCAGCGGACGCGGCAGGCGAGGTCTGTCACGCCAGGTCTGTCACACCATGTGGGACCTGCGCCGGCGGCGGGGGATCGAATGGCACTGCAGAGGCTTCGCAACCCAGCGCTCAACTGCTGCGCCACGGGTGAGGCCCTCTATGGTTCTGCTTTATGCTTGCTTGCTACAGACAATTCTCAGATGTTCTCTTCCTTGGTCTTTGGGGGATCTCTTCTGAGGGCTCAAACCCCAGATGCGGACTTGTAATAACTGAGCATGAGTTTACCAGGTCTACATCTCCTTCAAGAGAATCCATCTGTAGTTACTACTTTCCTTCCAGCAGCTATTGTCCCTAAATATCTTTCAAGATATATGTTCACGTACCCCAGCTTTCCTGGCAGCTAAGATATGGGAAGTCACAGGAGTGGAGTTTTGCTAATACCAAGCTGCTGAGAAGTTTTTCATGGTTGTGTGACTTTTTGTGGCTGCTCCTTGCCAGCCTACCATTCCTGCAGATTCTCAGCTGCCAGACAATGCAAAGGGCTCTGGGACCTCAGAATAGGGAGGAAACTGCCACAGCAGACTTCTTCTTTGGGGATAATTCCGGTCTCATGTCAATCCATCTTTGGAGAGACTGAACTCTGGAGACTAGGGAGACTTAGTAGTACTCAATCCTCGATTTAGAAAACCATCTTATGTTTCTCCAGCTTTCCCACTCAGCTCTGAGAAGTAGCTAGGGTCAGGAAGAAGTCTGTTGAAATTTGGCAAAAGAATATCTCCCTTTGGTAAAATCTGTGGAATATGTTTTTAACATTATAAATATTATAAATGCATTGTAATCTTTTCCCAAACATTACCAGTATATATACAACCTAAAATAAAGTTATATATATATATAAATATGCCTTTCCATTATTACCCTCAATTCCAATGCCTACTGATAGGTCTTATAAATTGTTGCAGAAATTTTGTATTCTTATGTCAATAATTATGTATATAAGACTATTTTATAATACGGAGGTACTCCTACTGACATAGTAAGTATACTATGTATGCTTCACAGTATATTGTGTTCATTTTTTCATAGCAGCACATATATGTTGTTTCCTCATTTTGAGGGGTTTTATAACATTTCAATCAGTTTTAAAAAAACTAACCAGTACTTTTTTCATAGATATTGAGATTCCTTTTTAAAAATTTCTAAAGGGCTTCCCTGGTGGTGCAGGGGTTAAAATCTCAGTGCTATCAAACTATCGCCAGCCACTGTGGCGTGAGTTCCATCCCTTGTGGGAGCAGACCCACAAGGCACAGCAAACCTCTCCTGTCTTGCCGACTGCTCCCCTCAGCAGTGTTTTTCAGTAGATCTGCCTGCTCTGCTCCCCACTCTGGTGAATCCTCTCACCTCTTTGCACCCTTCGCCAAATACCCCAGTTCTTGTATGCATTAAATAAATAAATAAATAAATAAATAAATAAATAAATAAAATTTCTAAAGTGTGGTAACTAGCCTCTGATGAACCCCCTCTCCTGGAGTTCACTGTATATTCCCTAAGCTCACTGAATTGGGCTGACCTCCATAACAAGAAGATGTTACAGGAATGGTGATGTCTGACTTCCAGGACTAGTTGTCGAAGGCATTAAGGGTTCCACCTTAGACTCTTTTAGCTCACTTAGTCTGGTAGAAACAAGATACCACGTCATGGGGACACTCCAACAGTCTTACTGAGAGGTCCATGGGGACAGACCTTCTGCAACTCATCAGCCACACCGCTGAATCACAATGGGACTGGACCTTCAGCCCCAGCCAGACCTTGTGATGACGGCAGCCTCCCCACATCTTGACTACAATCTGCCAGCTAAGCTGCTCTCGCTCTCCTAAGACACAGAAAGTGCATGAAATAATCATGTTTATTTTGATTTTAAGCTTTTTAAGTTTTGGAGTACTTCTTACACAGCAAAACATAATTATTACACAGTGTCATGAATTATCCATGTCTGCTCATATTTGTAAGACTATGAAAGTATAAAATAAATTCCTGGAAGTAGAATTACTAGTTGAAAAAAATGTGAATTTTAATTTTCATTTAATATGAAATTTAATTTAATAATGTGCCACAGTGAATGAAGGGAATTTCCCCACATGATCCTAAGCATTATCGTTAGCTCAAACTAGATTTTTTCCGTCTTCTAAGATATATATATATTCTTAATATATTATGTACACAAATGTGTTTATATATAGGTTTTTATTTTTTCTCTTTTTAATATTAATTTTTTTATCATTGTGCATTTTTAAACAATATTTGCTTCCCCCTACCCCCTCAGGTGTAGTCCCATAGAGTTTCCTTCCCCAATGCACCCTAGCACCATCACCTCAGTCCCCTGTGCTCCTCCCTCCCTCCCTCCCTCTGATCCCTCTCCCTCCTCCTCCCCTGCAGTAGATCTCTGATTTGTAATTGTCCATATTCACTTTGTTGTGTTTTGTACTGTTATTATTTTCTTTACACTGATGTCTTATTTGGTTCCCCTATATTCCTGTTATAAGTGAAACCATCCGATATTTTTCTTTTTCCTTCTGGCTTATTTCACTGAGCATAATTCCTTCTAGCTCCATGCATGTTGCTGTGAATATATATAGGTTGTTAATGTTAAAAATGTTTGAAATTTGTCTATGCTAAGCTTTTGGCAAGATGTTGGATGGGTGGGGCAGAGAGAGGTGAGTCTAATTCATTTATAAAGTGGCTAGAGTATCTCCTTTGGTCCTCAATTCCTCCACCCATATCACCCCATCTATCTTAGGTACTATCTTCATTTTCTATATTCTTTGTCTGTTATTCTAATTTTCACCTCCCCTTTACCCCCATACTTTTCACAGTATAAAGGTCCAGCGATTGAGGTGGATTAGAGTGGGAGGAGGGATGAATATGTGGAGCACAGAGGATTTTTAGGATACTGAAACTGTTCTGTGTGATACTATAGTGGTGGATATATGTCATTATGCATTTGTCCATATCTATAATATACAAACAGAAAGAGAGAACCCTAATGAAAACCATGGACTTGGGGTGATAATGATGCATTAATATGTGTTCATCATGTAGAACGAATGCACCACCCTGGAGGGGGATGCTGCTAAGGGGGAACTCTGTACACATATGGGGACTGAGAGGTAACGGGAAAATGGAAGGTGATGGGTACCTTCCAGTTAATTTTGCTGTGAACTTAAAACTGCTCTTAAAAAAAGTATATTTAAAAAAACTGACATGAGGTCTTTTATAATTCTAAAGTGTAAATGACTGCTGAAAGATCAAAGTACTGTCTCTCCTAGGTACCTTTCAACAGGGAATGTAGCTGTTTAAAACTGATAGACTAAAGCTTTGGTTCTGGCTACAGGTGGTACATGAGTTTGTGGGACCTCACAGCTTTCCCATGAACGAAGACAAGAGGGGAGCAGAGATGAAAGACCAGAGGCAAAATGAAAAAGCTGAAGAATGAGAGCACAAGATTTGTGTCCTGGTTGTGCCTCTATTATTTCCTGGATGAGTGATCTTGAGAACTCGCCATGAATCGTTTTTCTCACCTGAGTAAGAAGCTTAATAAGCACATCCTATCAGTGCTTGAATGAAAATACGTTGAGATAATAAAATAATATATGCAGACATGCTTCATTAATTAAAAGAATACAAAAATATTGGTAACTGACCACAAAGAGGAAAGATGTACTTTTAAAACTATTAGACTCCAGACTGACATGGAATCAGCCTGCCTGGATTCCAGCAATTAACTCTTCTTTTTCATTAGCTCAGTGCTGCCACTTTCTTACTTCCACAATTGGAATAACAATAGTTACTTAAAATAGGGATACTTGGAAACTTTCCTCAGTTCCACATCAGAAAGTGCTCAACAGTTACTATTGCTAGTCCTTCCCAAATCCACCCAGAAAGACTTTAGTGTCTTGTCTTTACAGTTCAGCTCAACCAATTGTCAGGTCCCAAGACCTCCCTGGTGATGCAAGGTGTTAAGTCTCAGCACTATGAAGCTGTCTTCAGCCACTGTGGCACAAGTTCTATCCCTGGGCAGGGAGCTTCCCACATGGCGCAGCAGACCTCTCCTGTCTTGCCTGCTGCTCCCCTCAGCAGTGTATTTCAGTAGATCTGCCTGGTCTGCTCCCCACTCTGTCTCTGGTGAATCTTCTCACCCCCTATAACTCTGGCCTGCACCCCAGGTCTTGTATGCATAAATAAATAAGAATAAATCTTTAAAAAACATTCACGTCTCACTGCAGAAGAAACACTGACTTTCCAGGACTTCTCTTAAGGCATCACCTTCTATCTCCCCGGCCTGTAGTCCTACTGCTCGCTCCTCAACCCTGCAAGTGGGTAGGTGGCTTTAGTATTCACTATTCTATTAAAAAATGTTTTAGAGGAAGTAAATTATATACCATACTTTGGACAGTTAAAAGTGAGGTGGTGCATTTAGAAAGGGAGAAAATTTTAAATATAGAACAGTGAACAATTCTGTTTTTAACTTGCAATACACAGTTGATGATATAGGTATAGATGAGAACTAGAATAATACTCTTACTGTTGATAACCTTTTGAAAAAGATTTTTATTCTTTTTTTTCTTCGTGTTAGTATTTTCAGTTGCCACCTGTCTTCTTGGATAGCTATAACTTCCTTCCTGCAAAGCTGCTAGGTTTCACTAGGACTGGGGAGGTTCTGAATCTTGCGTGTGATTGCTTTTCTCAGTTCAGTAAAGAGATCAGTCACCAAGTCACCCTTTACTTTCCAGTGATGGCTGCCACCTCTCGTTTTCATGAGAACTGATAAAAGCAAATGAGTCAGCCCCTAGGACCCTTCAAGAGTGGCACGCGATGTTCAGGCTAACCTCAACCTTAGCTGAACTAAAGAGGTTTCAAAAAAAGTCTTCAAAGAAACCCTCCTTCCAAAAATACAGGCATGCATCTGGCTTCCTTCTGCTTTCCCGCTTCTATTTGCCTCTTATTTAGTTTTCTGGATTTCATTTAACTTTTCAGAATCATCAAAGTATGATTTTTACTTTAGATCAAAAAAGCAGTGATATAGTAGTCTGTGATCTTCCCCTTAAAGGTAAGATTCTGCGTTGATACGTGTAAAGAGAAGGTCTTTTAGTTAGCACAAGGGGCGGATGTGTTTATCCTGTTAATTATCAGTCACCTTCTAGTTAAGAAGTAGACTATAAGAAAGACATTTCTGCTTATGCTGGCTTGTTGGTTTCCTTTTCTTCCTCAGATAAGTTTTGTTTCAATGATTATTTTCATAATTGTGCCATATCCTCTCCTCTGTTAAGGTCCTAACTGCATTTTAAGAAAATCACAATTTTGATTTTATGATTTAGAATGATACATGTAATAAAATAATCATTAAATTATTGGAGAAAAGCAAAATATATGACTAAGAAATTCTAAATAAAGTTAAATCTAAACTACTTTTAAATAAAAATATAAAACTGTATAGATACTCACTTGTTGATAGGAGTTGGTACTTTATATGGTGGGAGGGGGAGAAAGGATTTGGTTCATTTGGACTATTTTTTGTTATTCCTGTATGTATAGCCTCTAGAATGAAAGCAAACCAAAAATATTTTGAAATTGTTTAGTCACTAATCATCACAGTCCATAAGCATTCTTTGTTGTTAGCAAGAATTCAGTGTATTAATCATCGGACTGGGTAAAGTAAAATTGTGGGCAGCAGGAGAGTAAATAAATTTCATGGAAAAAGAAGCTTGATATTAAAGAAACTGATTTAACCCAGTAAACAGGATAGTTAATTATTTGTCCATAAACATTCACCTCTTAAATAAACAAAATTTTTTCGTAAGACTTAGAATTATTATTTTTGTGTATTTAAAAAAGGATTTGCATTACATAGCATTGGGCTCATATATTTGAAAAAATAATATTCACTGTAAAAATGTTTTAAGATGATAAGAATTGCCAAACTGGGAGAGCTCTATGATTCATCCACATCAGTCCCACCTGTTTCAGACTGACCCAGAGGTAATGGGTGTGGTGACCTGGAGCCTGTCCTCCAGACAAAATTAAGGTTTAGACAGAACCCATTAAACCATGCTGGTGACAGTGCCCAGAAAGTGTGTGGCTTGGCAATGATTAATATTTGTTGAACAAATGAATAAGCCATAAAATCAATCATCATATAATCATCTACATTCCCTTGAAGCTAACCTTAGTTTATCATCTATTTCATATGGCAAGTTCTTTGTTTTAAGTGTCTTGCATTATCTTAAAAATTATGTGACTTCAGCATCAAGAACTTTTTTTTTTTCCTCCACCATAGTCTTGGATTGGATTTGATTAGTCTTAACACTTAGGGCAAAGAAGAAAAAATACACCACCCTAAGTGATGTACTTCCTGCTTCTGTTAAGACTGTTTCAATCAGAACTGGAAGAACTCTACTTTAGTTAATAAACAACAAACCCATAAGAAAACAAAAGGCTTTGAAGTATTTATTGCGAGGCCTATCTGAAGGATAAATGTTAATTAGTTATGACTACTCCTTGACATCAGGGATGTTAAAAGATTCACAGGAGCAGATAGGAAAGCCAAGCATGATTTATCAGTAATACTGGCAGAAAGTTAATCATAGGGGAATGAGCTATTATTGTGTAGAGATGATTTATTGCAATGGACCCTAAAAAGGTTTTTACCGTATATATTTATATCATTTTGAAAGTCCTGGAGACATTACAAGAGGGAGGAAGCACAAGCTAATTGCTTTGGCCCATGGAGAATTTGTTGACAGACACTGCTACCATAACTAACAATTTCCAGGAACTGGAGATGAGTGATTAGTTATGTCTGTTATGAGTTTGATAATGAAGCACATTGCCATGCATTTGTTGCCCCAGGTTAGACATTGCACAGAATTTGGTTTATTCTTTTGGGTAGAAATGCAATTAAAAGCTACATCCAACTTGGGTTTATTTTTTTGATTTTTTAAAAGAAATATATTGGATAAAGCAAAACAAAAGATTCTCAGAATGAAATAGTTCTATGATAAGACCTTAGAAGTTTGACCATCAGAGCTTTCTGAAACTACAGTAGGCATTTAAGAGAGGGTTCTAGAAAGATTTCCTCCCACTTTAAACCTAGGAGTTTGGTCAGGAGTTAAAGAATATTCACAGTGTGTGTACACAAGGAAAAATCAGACTGTGTATTTAAGTACAAACAAAATAAGTAACAAACTTTTAAAACTTTTGGGGCAGGATCAACCTTTTTATCACCAGTTCAGGAGCTTATTCTGAGAGTAAGGAATCATTTTAGATTCGTATTCACACACCTACCCCACACCAAAAAAATCTGATTGCTTTGAGAGTGCATCACCAAAAAAAATTTTTGACCTCTGCCTTCTCAGTGAGTATACACTTTCAACAGTTTGGAGACATTAAGAGAATTACTTCAGGAAGTACTTCAATTTGCAACAACTGAGAAGTTTTCAAAATGCCTTCTACTGGCTTCCAGAGTATTTATTCCCTGGTTTCCTCTTTGCAGGTTTGCTTCAAGCTGGCAGCCCTCTCTAAAGATGTTGGATGTAGGAAGAAAAAAAAAAACAAAACTCCATTGTTAGCAACCCCAAGCTACTGCACTATTCTTTGTGATCTTCCTTTATTAAGCACCCCTCGAATTGTCATAATCTTGACAAACTCTTTCTTCATGGGATCCTGATGCATTACCTAATATCAAGAAAGAATATAAGGGGCATCTTCAATGTGAAGTAAGAATTTTGCACAATCTGTGAGAAGTGAGAAGGTAAGATTCCACTAATGGATCACCCAATAGGTTGATAAGTCTTTGGACTCAAACCTGGTTGGACATGGAGGGCAGAAAATGGGCCAGGTAGAGTGAGAGACACCTCTGTGTCTGCTTGCCCATGGGTCCACTGCCTGGAAATGGCTTGCTCTGCTGCAGTTGGATGTCTTATTTCTCTGTTTCCATATGGGATCATTTAATATTGCAATGCTTTTCTTAGGAAGCTACAACAAACACCCTCTTTTTCATAATAACATCCTTTTTTCATGATAACATCCTTTCAATGAGGGTTCTTCTTTTATTTCTTTCTAAAATTAACCTAAGTTAAGACTAGAGCATCTGCACCCTACTTCCTGTGAATTTAGAATCAGCCATAGGATTTTTGAATTGGACAGTCATTTGAAGCCTATTTAGTACAAATTCCTCCTTTCATACAGAAGATACTGAAGTCTTGGTAGGCAGATGACAAAGGTCTTCATGGCCATCCCACAGCTAGTGGTCATTGCCACTGTCAGCATCCATGAAACCCTGGTTTTCTCTGGTTTAATATTTCTGTCTGGAGACTTTGGACTTGACTTGTGCACTACTCAGATTAGAGGCTCCTGGAGCAAAAGCCTATATGGGGAGTTTTGCAGAAAGAATGAAAAGAGAAGATAGGGAAAATGTTTCTAATTTGTGTGGGAATTTTCTGAGGTGTGGTTTGAGGACCGTGGTTTTATAGGAATCTGAAAATAATCCAATTGTCAGAGTCCTACTTTTTAAAAAATTATTATTCTAGGGAAGATATATTCAGCAAATAGGAGTAGTGGTCATGCATGAAGCAGGAAGCCAAGGAAAGCAGCTTACCTCCTCCCACCCCCAGTTTGCTTTAGTCATGCCCACCAAATGAGGGTACCCATAGGGTTCTCAGTTGTTGCAAATTGAAGTACTTCCTGAAGTAATTCTCTTAATGTCTCCAAACTGTTGAAAGTGTATACTCACTGAGAAGGCAGAGGTCAAAAATTTTTTTTGGTGATGCACTCTCAAAGTTTCCAGAGCTGAGCTGAGCTCCTGCTTAGACCTGTTACTGGAAATAATTCTCTGGCTAGAGACAGCACATGTTATATGTATACTATAATTTCTTGGATCCCAGGATTTTCATTGTAATTAAAATATATTTTCCACACTAACATTTTATTTTAAAATGTCATGGGACTATAATTGTGTCAGTAAAAGAGATTACCCATTTGAAAAAAAAATTGAGAATATTGAAATGGCATTCTTGTCAGTTTGATTTCATACCCCTTGGTATCTTCAGATTGCGGGGTTCTTCTGTGTATAAATGTCTACTGATTTCAAAGGGGAACTCCAAAGCTTTAAAAAGTTATTAGAAAGTGAGTTAAAAAAATGTATAGGACAGCTGCTTTTAGTGATTCTTTCATACAGTGCATTAGTTTCCTTGGGCTGTGGTGACAGATTACTATGAACTGTGTTTGGCTTAAAACAACAAAAATTCATGGCTAATAGTTCTAGAGGCTAGAAGTCTGAAAGTAAGGTACCAGCAGGGTCATAGTCTCACTGAAGATGCTAAGGAAGGATCTGTCCTGGCCTCCCCTAGTTTCTGGTAGTTTCAGGCATGGCCTGACTTGTAGATGGCCACCTTCTACCATGTCTCTTCACATCAGCATTCCTCTGTGCATATCTGTGTCCAAATTTCCCCGTTTGAAGGATATCAGCCATTTAGGAATAGAACCCAGCCTAATAACCTCATTTGAAATTGATTATCTCTAAGTAGACCCTGTTTTGAAATAAGATCAAATCCTAAGGAACTAGGTGTTAGGACCCAACATACCTTTGCTTGGGCAACACAATTCAACCCATAACAATACATGCTGCTGAAATATTGAATGGAGTCGCTACTCACAGTTTCAGGGCTACTCAGAACCAAACATCTGATTGGGACCTTTTACCAGCTCATCCTACAGTTGCTTGGTGTACTTTTCATAACTGTGTTTGAAACCAGTTGTCTTGAAGTTTATTGGTTGGGCTTGATGTTTTCTCTCTGCTTATGTGCAAACAAGATACTGCCCCAAATGCATGTAAATGGTGTGCTTGCCTTCTGTTCTGATAAGACTATGGTTTCAGACAGCTGTGAAAAACATCATAAAACAAAAATGTTGCACATTTTTGGGAACTTGGTCCTAAAAGAGACAAGTTTTGTGGTTATTGTAAACTTGCCTCAAATTGCTAATTATATTTTTGTTTTGAATTAAGTGTCCCCCATTCTCTAAAAATGATCTAACAATAACAATAAAGATAATTCCTACTTATATGTCTTCTTATTCTGTAAGAATAATGTTCAACATTTTAAAAAAAGTTTTATATAGTTAAATACAAGAGCATACAAATATTATAGTATTATTTAAAGAACTCTGGAGGCATTCTGATTCACTAAGCTATATCCAAATGTATGGAAATATTTGCTTTTTCAGATCTGTAACATCAGAAACACATGAATTTTCAAAATTTCCTAAGAGTGGCAATGCAATTAAAACTATTTACCATTTTATGATTATTGCCCAAGAAACCCAATACTATTATTTTTACTATTACCG